CGTTTGCTAGTGAGACCCTGTGAGGCCAACAAAGCAACCTGCATCTGAAGCATCTCACTTTGGCGGCCGGCAGCGAGATCCTGCAAGCATTCGAAGTAGTAAGCCTTGTTCTCGATATCGACAGCGCCTTGTCGAGAGAAGGCGAACAGGATTAAAGCGTCGTCGAAGTCACCGACGGCGCCTAGACTAGCGTAGTAACTACATGTCGTCAGTAAACAGGAACACCGGTGAAGGTGAAAGCGGGGCACATACGGATGATCTTCTTCGTGGTTTGTACTGCGTGTCTCCCGTCCCTTCGCCTTAGCGTCTGTGCAGCTTGTCAGTGTCCACATTGTGTAACAAGCGGGGCGTATATGGACATACAATCCGCGCATGCTAACGCTCTCTCCATATCGACTCGGGACGGTGTGGGATACATGGGCTGGTGTCTGCAGCCCACTCGTTCATTCTCCGGCATGCTAAGTATTAATGTATTCAGCTCGTAGCGAGCGTCCTCGATCTTGTTGCGCAGCGTCGATTCGAGAGGAGATGCCGCTTCGTCGGGCCTAGGGAGATACCAGACTTCTACGATGGCATCCTCTTCCTCTTCCTGGCGGTTCTCGAAGCCCAGGCGCCGTAATATCGAGTCGCAGTCCCTACCGAAGGTCTTGAGAAACTTCTTGTTCAACAAGGGGATGCGCGCCTTGCCCTTCGCGGGCTTCAACGAATCCTGTAGGTATGTATTCAGGTAATCAGGAGCATCGACCTTCCGCGCCATGTTTGCGTCTGCCCGGTCGCCGGCGATCTGTTTCGCTGCTTCCCATCGTCTCCTGAGCTGTGCCTGGTCGGTCAAAGTGACAATGTCCTGCTCCGAGAAGCATGGCGGCTTCATGCTAATCCGTACCCTGACTGAGCACTCGGGCGCAGTGCAGCGGAAAGTGTAGGTGCGCGGGCGCAGCTGAGCCTCGATTCCACCGGTGCCACTCGAGCTGTCTTCTCCTTCGTAGAGGAAGTGGTGCAAGGCATAGTCCTCATTTCCCTTCCCACACGACTTGATCTTGGTGGCATCGGTGCGGTGGTCGACACGCACATCGACATGCCAGCGACACTTGTTGCAGTATGAGGCGACCTTGTATGTGGTATTCGGGGTTGCGTCTTCGCCTGCAACCGGCAACTGCGACTGCTCAGGCTTGGTGAAGAAGATGTGGCGGCAGTTCCTGAAGGGTACGGCGGCGACTGCTGGGGCTTTGCTGTCGTGTTGCGGCGGGGCACTCGTCAACAAGTTCCGGCCGGCCCGTTCTTCGTGTCGCGGATCGTATGTGAAGAGGTCCTGGAGTAGCCGCGGCGCCGTCTTGCCTGTGAGTCGTGGTTAGCACACGCTGGTGGGACGAGGGTGGACAAAGTACCGGGCGCCATAGCTGCTGTGTTCGGTGGGGAGCAATAGTGTGGCGTATACTATGGATGACAGAATGGAGTGTTTACTGGCAGCACAACATGCACGGCGAGATGGGTGGAGAAGGGCGAAGACGGGAGTAGTCGCTACTGTGTGATTGAAGCGTTTACAGACAGAGCATCGTGGGCGGCGACCGCCTAGTAGAAGCACTACAGTGCTAGATTCAGGAAGAACAAGACAGCTAGCCCACGTGAATAGCCCTGACGCATGCAACTACGCACATGAAAACACAAGACCGCAACGGTACAAGCGGCGAGGCACACGGGCTCGCGGCATTCACTGCGACAGCTCGACGACGCGGCGCGCGATGATGCAGCCAGTGCCCGCCCGCCGCCGCTTGAGCCCTGAGCGCCAAGACGCTTATGGTCTGGCGCATCTTCCCGCTGCCGACTTCAACAACGTCCATAGAGCTCCCAAGACGACACCCACGCCCAATTCGCCCGCCATGGCCGACCAATACGTCACCTACCACCCGCGGGACGCTCTCTCCAACACTGCGAACACGACGCTGCAGACCACGGCCGCCGGCGCCATCATCGCCGGTGTTCAGAACACTCTCCGGAAGCAGAATGTCGGAGCCATGGGCATCCTTACCCGGTCGGGAGGCATAATCGCGCTATACGGTCCGTACCAGGTCAATTGCAGGAAAATGCATCGGAACGAAGCTAATTGACGTGTAGCCGGTGTGGGAGCCGCCTACCAATTCACACTGGACGCGACCAGCAACCTGCGACAAAAGGATGACTGCTACAGCGAGGCGGTTGCCGGTTTCGTGGCTGGATGCGGTGTCGGTGTTGCCAGTACGCATGCTCAGGACCGATACATACGTCGGTACTAACAGTTCATAGGGCGAAGCCTTCCATTCATGCTCGGTGCCGGAGTATGCTTCTCCACGGTCCTCACTGCCTACCGTTACACTGCTGGAATGCGCGGTATTGGAGACATTCGCGACCAGGTCGATGACGATGGCGAGGTTGAGCGCAGGGAAGAGCTGAAGAAGGTGCGCAGGCGGCCAATGTCCGAGACTCTGCAGCAATTGGGCGAGGGACGAGGTATGTCCAATAAGGGCCAACACACTCCTGCTGAAGCTGACTTTACCAGGAATTTACGGACCCGGATACGAAGAGAGGAGGCGGCAACGACTGTTGGAGAAGTACGGCGTCGACGTCAAGGCAGCGCAAGAAGCCGCTTAGAAGCATTACACATTTCCTTGGAGTCACAACGCAAACACCACACAAACCTGGGCCACATCTGGCTCGTGTATATACCTCAAACAATCGAAGACTTTATCAAGACTCTTCTTCGCCCCCAAGATCAATGCATGGCGTCAGCCCTCTCATCTTAGTCTGCTTCAACGACATCGAATATTCGTCTCTACTATCAGATGACGGAATTCTATAGTGCCGAGCTAAGGCAAGGACTCTACTGCAGTTGCGCGCAAGGATAAAACCCATCTCATCGCTTCTGCTGCAGGCCGACTAATATTGTGCATTAGACAAGGGTTCTGCCCGATGTGTGGAGAGCTTATAGTGATGCTTGGATTCCTCCAGTTCAAGTAATGTATTTCGGATAATCGCCATGCCTCAAAGATCCATACATCTGACAATGCACGAGACGCTATTGGTGAAATGCGGGGTAGCGCGCATCCCACCAGTTCGATGATGTCGCACCTTTCGACCCTCAATCTGGTTCTACTAGTAATTGGAATCGGTGACACAAAAACCTCTGCATTGTCGACCTGTTGCATTGCCAGACTGTCACCTAAGCTCGTAGTTTCTGTACTTCATTGGTCTTCACCATGTTGCGGTTTTTCGCGCGCACCATGCGCGTCTCTTTCAACCCCACTAACCAACCCACCGACGCGTGAACATCTCACCGAAGAACTTCGAGGCTCAACGCATGCCAAAGACAGGAATACGGCTGGCGAATATCAAACCTCAGTCCTCAACTACCTTGACGTCGCGACAACACCCGACGCGCAATGGCCGAGTCCAACCTCAAAGAGACCTTCTACCGCCAGTTCAACCAAGATGTCGCAAGTCCGTCTCCCACATATCCACCACAGCATGCGCCTTGACTAACACACTCAGCACTTCGCGCGCAAATCGAAAACCTCTCTTCCGTATCCACATCCGGCGGCGAGCGCAGTGAAGCAATAGACAACTGCCTGGCCGGCATAAACCGAGTAGCCCTCGATGTCCAGGACGCCTCGAGCTATCTTCCGGCGTATGATCAACGGACGTACAGCGAGGTGTGTCATATACCGAAAACAGCGAAGCCATGAGATGAGCTGGAGGCTGACAAGAAAGTGTATAGACGATCAAGCGTTTGAGCGAGAAGCTGTCAGAAGTGAGGAACAGCTTCGATCCACCCAAGAAATTCAGTTTCAAGAACAGAAGAAAGGATATCGCGAAACCAGACGCTGCACCGGATACATCGAGCGCGAAACCGTCCTCCGCATCGGAACAAACACCACCATCACAGCAACAACAGCAGCACGACACAACGCAACACGACTCTTCTCCGTCAGCGCTCTCCTGGAAATCCCACGCCCGTATAACCCTCCCTTCATCTCCCCACGAAACAAGTTCACCGACAGTGTCCCACCTCACCCACTGCATCGTCGATCTCAGCGCCCCAACGAAAGCAAACGCGCCCTTCGCTGCCCTCTACCTCCGCTCCATAAGCTCGTCGCTCATAATAACCGGCCAAGTCGCAGGCGCAATACACATCACCGATGTCTCCAACAGCATCATAGTGACGGCGTGTCGGCAGTTTCGCATGCATGGGAGCAAGAACGTGGATGTATATCTACATAGTACGAGTCGGCCGATCTTTGAGGACTGTGAGGGCCTGAGGTTTGCGCCGTTGCCTAGTGTATATGTTAGTCTTCTCCTGGTACTTGCAGTCTTTGCTGTGTAAACTTCGCTAACGACCGTATAGACGACACCGGAGATCGAACAATCGCCAAATCAGTGGGATCAAATCGACGACTTCAAGTGGTTGAAGGCCGGGCCAAGTCCGCACTTCAGTCTGCTACCTGAAGCCGGGCGCATATCTGAAGACGCGTGGAATGAGAGCATACCCGGGGACGAGAATGAGAGCCCGGATGATACCCTGAAGGCCTTCGGTGTACGGTGACGGAAACCGACCATCAACATAGCCATGTAACAGGTCTCTCAACCTTGGCGTACACTCTAGCCACTGCGGCTTTCTGGCTTGTTTCAATCATGACAAATTCTGAGAAGACATCACAGTGCAACGAAGATCTTTGTTAATGGCCGAAGTAAAAAGTGTTGTATATTACATGCATGCTGATCTGTTGCGGCCGTGTAACTGGTAGTACATGTGAGGAAAACCCTGTCTGGCTTAAAGAACACTCCCTAAAAAGATCATACCACTTCCCTTGACCTCGTCAGGCCCACATTGTAGGTATGTGGACAGAGTTGGAACGCTCCATGCTAAACGCTATACGCGATGCAAGAATGTCTCACCATGTCGACCTCCTTCAACAACAGCGCATCTCCTTCACGACAGAAAGAGACCGATGAGAGAGCCACGCTTTGGCTTATGCAAAGTGAGCGAAGACGAGAGCAACGACAATAGCCGCGAGGGAACTCTTTCCGGCACCGACGACATGGCCGGTGTTGATGGGCACTTCGATGTAGCTGGGGTAGGGGGCAACAATCGTGCCGTTGATGCCGCCAGATGGGTAGGGATAACTGCAAAGACCGGTCAGTGAATATAGAAAGTATCAAGAATCATTAAGACGTACCCAGATCCAGAGGGACCACCAGAGACACCTGAAGGGACGCTGGTCGGGATAGCTTGCGTATTGGTGTTGGTGTTGGTGTCATTGCCAGGCACGTCTGAAGGCCCTGCCGTGATGTACGAAATGAGAGTCTGTGTCTGATAGCTCGTAATCCTAATAGTGCTATCGATGACCGTGGATACAGGACCTGTTGTGGGCGAGGGGCTTGGGTAACCAGGAGTAGTAGACAATGACGCTGAGTTCGTGCCAGAGGCGGTACCCGAGGATCCTGTGGCGGTAGAAGATGTAGAATCTCCGCCTGTGTATGTCGGAGCAGCTTCGATAGAGCTTCCAGGTGGGGCAAAGTAGTTGCTCGATGAAGGTCCGGCTGAAGGGCTTCCAGAGGGTATAGCAGAGCTGGCACTTGGGTAAGAAGCTGTAAGAGAAGTAGGTACAGCATCCGTGTTGGACTTTGTCAGTGCAGTTGAACTACCTGATGGCACGAGGTATCCACTGGAAGACGGTCCAGCAGGGCGAGATGGGGCAGCCGAGTAGCTCGATGACACTGTTGGTCCACTTGGGTATGGACTTGCGGGCGATGAGACTGTGATGGAAGTCGGTACGGCATCTGTGATAGAGCTTGCTAACCCAGCTGAGCTAGCTGGCGGCACGACATAGCCACTCGACATTGAGCCGGTGGAGGCGGCTCCCGGAGACGTGGGCACATAATCCGTATTGCTGCTCGGTGGCACGGATGAGCCGGACGGTACGTAGCCTGGTGTTGAAGGAGTGGCTGGGTTACCAGAGCTTGGCCCTGACGAGGGGGTACCTATGGACGTAGGAACTGCATCCGTGTTGCTGACAGGTGGAGCTGCTGAGCTAGCTGGGAAAGTAGAGCCTGTGTATGACATGCTGGAGACCGCTGAGCTACCAGGGTTCACGGGACCTGGGTTAGTGGGTGATGAGACCAGGGAGCTGCCCGGAGGTGCGACATATCCATTTGAAGAGCCAATGGAACTAGGCCCAGCTGATGAAGCGGGATATGAATTGCTAATGGCGTTGGTGTTGGTAGATGAAGGAACCACGACGACACTGCTTGCTCCGGTTGAAGGCAATACATCTGTGACGATCGTGACTCCAGTGCTTGGAGATCCTGATGGGAGCACCACACTCACGCTAGGAGGCGTAGCATATGCGCTGGATGGGGAAATACCTGTTGGCAGAGCACTCGTCTGGGGAGCAGAGCCACTGGGATATTCAGAGCCACCTGGGAAGATTTGAGACCCTGAGATGAGGCTGACAGAGATGCCCGCGGAACTGGTGGGGTAGGCGGAGCTAGCAACTGATGAAGGAGCAGCCGTAGTTGGAGGTGGCCCATACCCAGGAGGCGTCGAAGAAAGTAGACAGATCGTGGTTGTTGCAGTGACATAGACAACAGATGTCTCAGCAGTGGTGGTATAGGGAGGGCAGCTCGCAATGTCGGTGCAGATCTCCTGGATCAGGTGGGTTGACGTAACCATAATGACCGTGGAGTGGGTATCGGTGAGGGCACGCTCGACACCTGTTGACGTGTCAGAGTTGTTTGAACAGCCAGATAGCGATTGAGGTAACAATGATACTGAAGGAAATGCGTGAAGTTAACTTACGAGGAGCTGCAAGAGGCTGGACTGCAAGAGCAGTACCCCCGAAGAGGGCGGCAAGCTGAGTGACCTTCATGTCAAGCGTCGAGCTGGCGGCTGTGGTGAGATGAGATTGAAGAGTGCACCAGATGGGCAGAGGTGAGCAAGATGACCAAAGGAGCAGGCCAGTTGCTGACGGAGGGGCGAAAAGGAGTGTGGTAAACGAGTGTAGGAAGCTGGGTGCAGAAGAGAGATGATAAACACTGGGCGATGGGCTTTATCGGGGAGGCACGAGTGCCAAGGGATGGGTGACCGCCGTGAGAAGCTTCGGGGGTGAGATTGGGAAGGTGCTCCCAGGTCATGACAAATTGATGGTCGCATTGCATTAGTACTCTAGTATTAGGGTAATGTTGTCCATATTCGTTCTAATTTTAATTAAATTCGACAATTCGTTCCTTTAGTTCCTTGCAGCAATACATAACACAAGATTGCGCCTAGTAAAGCCCTTCTTATTATTATTATTCGCTGCCGCCGCTGTCTTTAATCTTACACGCGCTTAACTATTAAGACTAGAGTAATCTTACTTAACACTCTCAATATCTAAGCAAGGTTCTTGTTGCTAAACAGCACGTCTATAAACGCCTTTTCGCCCGCCCGCATCTTAATATTAAACCTAATCCTTTCCCGCATTCTTACAATCGCATTAATTTATTAACTAATATACAGCCTCGCTAGTACAATATTACTATTATTAATCTTAATCGCGTTCTAGAGTCTTGTAAGAGCCACTATTAGAAGACAAAGAGCTCTTAGGCGGTTAACCTTAGCCTAGAACGTCTTACTATTAGTAAATATAACAGTGTTAATTACGCCTGCTAGCGTGACTTCTGCTGCTAAATTACTGTCTAGCCTAACTATATAGAGAAGGCTTAGCTTATAGAGCTCTTTGTTAATAAAGTTAGCTAGGTAATTAACGCCGTCTATCGACACGGTCTTAGAACCACTAGAAGCGTTAGTAAAGAGGAAGATCTAGTAGACATCGTTAAATGTAGTTATTTTAAAGCTTTAGAGTTAGTAAGAGCAGCGAGACAAGAGAAAGTACTAACCTAGAGTTCTAGGCAATAGAGTGTAAGAGAAAGAAGCAGAGATTAGAACAGCATTTTAACTTAAGGTGCGTCTATAGATTCCTCTCTCGCTACTACAACTAAATTCTATAGCTTTAGCTATATCTTTAGGCCTAAAAGAGCTTATAGAGTTTTGTAGTTCTTATTGTAGAAGTGTCTTCTAACAATTTGTTAAAATTTTTTTTATTTGTAGCTCGTCTCTAGGCCTTTTAGCCTAAGACTATTAGTTAAGCTTCTCGTAACCCGCAGGTAGGCGGAGGGCCTGTTTTTTCGTGAATTTACTCGTGGGAGAAAGCGTTAAAAGCTGGAATTATTCGTGTATTGCAAAAAATTCAAAATTCATGACAAATTGATTCGGACAGCAAGGGCAACAACACCGGAAGCCACCGAAGCGGATGAGACTACAGCTACGTCATGACAGGTCTATCGCAACCCGTACTACAAGCGCGATTGCGGATAGGGAAGCTGCACTGTTGCATATGAGCGGACCTTCACCCCGATGATGGGTAGGACTGTTGCCAAACGACCAAGTGCTGTTCAAACTCATATGCAAAGACCAGAAGGATCAGATGGAAGATGTAATTAGAAGAATGAGATTCTACATACATGCGGGTATACTGTAGCTTGTCATCTTGATGCTTTTGACCCAAAACGCCCGGATGTGCCAATACGTGTATGGACACCCAAAAACCTAGCTCAGTGCCAGACGCTACTGACGTGTCGGCAAATACGCACCACCAGCAAGTACCAGGTTCATTCTAGTGAACTGCACCTTGTACACGGGACTGTCCTTGGTCGGAAATACGCTGATCTGGTCTGCCGAGACACCGGTCTCCTTGCTGGCTTTCTTTCCTGTCACTGTAGTTCCACTCGCGCCCTTGGTCGTCATAGCACCGTCCGCCTTCGCAGCCACGCCATCAGCGGCCTTGTCACTGGTCTCTTGGAGCACATCCCAGACACGGACTGTCTTGTCCGCTCCGGCTGAGACGAGAACGCTCGATTCCACACTCCAGGAAAGCGACCAAATACCACCCTTGCCGTGACCTCGCATGCGCTTCCGCCTTCGTCCAGTCTCAAGAGTCCAGAGGATGATGTTACCTGCATCGTCGGCGGAGGCAAGCGTCCTGCCGTCGGGAGAACATGCTATGGCGGTCACGTTGCCGGTGTGGCCCGTGAAGAGGCGTAGACAGTTGCCACCGGCGATGTGCCACATGCGTACCGTGCGGTCGCAAGAACCGGTGAAGATGTAAAGGTTATTGGGATGAAAAGTAACGCAGTCAACGTCATTGTCGTGACCAACATAGATGCGTAGAGGTTCAATGTGATCTGTTGACCACAAGCGTGCGGTGCGATCATTTGAACCAGTGAGGAAGTAGTGTCCATAAGGTCCCCATTGCAGATCCCAGACTGGATTATCGTGCCCGCGATAGGCTACAAGACATGTATATGTGTCTAGTGACCAAAGTCGGACTGTTTTGTCTTCTGAACATGAAAGCAGGCATTCTGAATTTGTTGGTGGTCCGGATGGATATGGGTTTGCTGTGGAAGGTGAGAAGGCCACTGCAGTGACTGGACCCGAGTGGCCGACGAGCCGCCTTGAAGACGTCGGTTGTGCGTCTGGCGCATCGTTTGGAGAGGTGAGTGGACTGCCGTCCATGGACCAGACCCGTATGTAAGACTCGTTCATGCCGGCCGCGACAAGCTGATTGTCACCAGAGAAGTCAATACAGTTGATGCTATCATTGGGTCAGCTACATTTTCTGAGACAGAATGACGAGTGAACTTACCTGTCGTAGGTGTTATGGAAGGTGTACATGGTGACGCTGACAGCTGGGCCAACGCCGCCTGTTCTGCCTTCCATCTTGTAGCGATCTCGGTGCTCGATGATCTTCTGAACCTCCATGGAGACGTCGCGCGCAAGTGAAGGCGGCAGAGGAACAAACTCCCGCGAGGGTCCGTCTTCTGTTGGCTCCTGTTTTATGCGTTGCTCGAACTCCTCTACTAAGCTTGCTTGTCCCGGTCTTGGCGCGCTTTTAGCATCCTCGTCCTGTAAAGCTGCGCGGACATCTTCCTGCAGATCTGCCTCTTGTGGGTATGCGCCTAGCTGCAGCCTTATACGGGCAGCCTCAGCTTCCGGATCATGGCGCGCAGTGAGGGGATGGCCTGGGGCGTGTCCTGGGATACCTTCGTCTTCTGCTGGAAGCTCGTCTTCGCCATGTCCACTTGCAAGGATTGCTGCTATACTCTTCTCGGCCGTGGCCGTTCGGTCGACGGTCACGATGTTCAGGTGTTCCCGGATCACGTCTATGATTGTCGAACCGCCGTCAAAATGCTTCGACTCGAGGAACTGAATGAGATTGAAGAAGGGCATTGTCGTCAGCGTGATGCGGTATTTGTTGTCGATGTATAGCTTTGCGATGCGGCTCTCCTGCAAATGTGCTTGTAACCGGACCTGGCGAAGTGTTTTGATATCTTCGTCGTGGTCGCGCTCGAAAAGACCCTGATACGTCGCGAAGAAGGTTTCCGCATCCTTGGTGTAGAAGTCGCGCACCATGTCGAGGTACGAGTAGACGAAAACAGGCCACAGCAGCTTCCGCAACTCTGGTCTGTACAAATCCAGGTTGTCTTCGGTGTATTTGCGAAGGAGCTCGAATGCTTTTGTGTATCTCGCGCCGCCCGCTTCGGTGCTTTGCGCTACGAGGGATTGGCCGTTAGTCTGCGGTTCAGACTCTTTTCGAAGCATCGCCTCGGTGCGGACATATCCCTTTTTAGAGAGGTACTCCAGTACCTGCATGAATGTCAGCAACAGCCTTTTAAATCACGATCATCTACATGATGTCAAGCAGCAATCAATGCTTCAAGTGCGCAGTACCGAGGTGTGGCCACCGTTGTTGGTCGCATAACTCTTTCCGTACGCCGATGCGTTCATATTTGGCTGACTTTACG